AACCTTTCGGCGCCATGCTCGACCATGAGTTCTCGAATCACCTGGTCCACCACAACCGACCAAGAACAAGATCATGTAGGCCATGCAGGTCGGTTGGACAAGGGGCTAGCATTCCAATTGTCCCCGTTCGTTTTGACCTTTTGGGTGATGCGTGTTTGGGTGTGCAGTTCAGTGATGCTGGGGGTAGTAGGTTGGAACGCTGAAAGGAAAGGTGAACCTTACTTCCTCACCCAGCCTGGCTGGCAAGCTACAGGATGTCCCTTACGCGAGGCAGCCCCTCCTCGACAAACAACAAACATCAAATCAGGGCACAGAGATTCGTGGCAAGGGCGTGTATGCTCAAAGGTTCGCCTCATGACTTAGACCACGGCACCTTTGATGCATCGCAAGGAATATGTTATGCAGGACCCCAGCAGACCTACTCATGCTAAGATGGGAATGAGGTAATGGCCTCCCATAGAGGTTCCAGGCTTAAGGTTCAGGGTTTGCGGTTTGTCGCCGGGCAATGCGCGCGCATGCCCCCTCAGGTAATGCGTTGGCGAGCGACGGAAGAGTTGTTTCAGGATGACGGGCCCTATTCACAAACCTCCACCTTGTTAACCTTCACCCTGTCTAGAGTTGAGGGTAGGGGGTCTTTATCAACATACACCCTGAACATGGAACCGTAGATCTTCAGACGTTTAGAACCCCAAGCCGGCACAATGCACCACCCAAAGCTGACATGGAACCCCATGTTGACACCATCCAATTACAAGTAAATGCTTAGGGTTTAGGGTTAGGGTTTAGGGTTTAGGGAGTTTGGCGGAGGTATTCCCTAAACCCTGGGCCCGACTGTAAACCCTAAACCCCGCAGCTCAGGATGTGCCGAATGGACTGAAGGCGTACCTCAGCCGATATGACATGTGCGTCATTGAATGCATTTCTCGAATATAGTAGAGCCCAAGAAGTTAAGTTTTCAGTTCAGGGTTTGAGAACATGAGTTTACAGGTTCTCGTGGCATCTCAAAAGGAGAAGCTATGAGTCTGACAGATATCTGCAGTGTTGGAAGCAAAGATTTTCTGGATTATTGGTTTACGTGGCTTCTTAATTACCCTCTTGGAATACTGTACATTAAAGTTTGCACCGGTATCCCGACTACCTACTTATGCATCTACTTATGCCTGAATGGGGATCGGAGAATGGACCCCGACAGTAGCCCCTTCCCATTCCCCACAACAGGTTTGTCCTAGTGTAGTCCCCGCAGGTTCGAGCCCTAAACCCAAAACCCCAAACCCTAAACCCTAATTTGTAAACCCTTAACTCTCAACCCTAAACCCTAATCCCTAAACCCTGAACCCTATAAGGTTTAGCATCTAGGCCCCCGCTGTAAGCCTAAGGCTTTCTGTGGTTCCCAAGGAAGGATGGGCTCAGCGACTTGGCACACAGAATTCGGGTTTAGGGTTCAGGGTTTAAGATTTAGGGTCTAGGGTTCAGGATTTAGGGTTTATGGTTTGGGATTTAGAGTTTAGGATTGAGGATTTTCTGGGTTGCTGTTAAGGAACTTGATTTCCAGTCACCAAAATGGGCATCTATAGTCATTTATATGGTAAGTTACTAGAATGAGGAAACCACAATAATTACTATATATGTACACATATTTGGGTGATTTAGTTTAAGTTCCTCAACAGCAACCCAGAATTTGTCGGTTCAGCCGTTGTGTCTGTGGAGTTTGGGGCCCAGGATTCGGGCTGCAGGGTTTAAGGGCCCAGGATTTAGGGTTTCAGGTTTAGAGTTTAGGGATCCAGGAATTTGGGTTCAGAGATTGAAGTCTCAGAATTGCGGTTTCTTTTTCAAAGCTTCGAGCCCCAGGGGCCTCTGATTTGTCGGGGCTTATCGGGTCCAGGACTTCGGCTTTGCTAGGGTTCAGGGTTTATAGGGTTTAGGGTATAGGGTTTAGGGTTCAGGCCTTGAAGGGTCTATTTGAAAATTGCAGGCTTTTGAGGGTGATTTGTACTGAGGGAGTATTTGCCTCCAGAAACCCTACACCCGCTAAACCCTTAACCCTAAAAACTCGGAATCCCTAACCCTAACCCCTAAACCTATAATCCCGAAACCCTAACCCCTAAACCTTAATTCCTGAACCCTAGCCCCTAAACCCTACATCCTAATCCCTAAACTCTACAGTGCTAGAGCTCAGAGCGGGGAGAGATCATAACTACGCGTCGTGCGGTCTTGAGGCATCTGCAGGCTTGCGCTCCTTTTTTTGCAAAGGTTTCGTACCGGGTGTTTGTAGGGAGTAAGGGTAATACATATATATATATATGTATATAGGGTTTAGGATTAGTAGGGAATATAATATATAGAGTTTATATAGGGAGTGTATTCCTCAATTCCCTACTAACCCCCAGTGAGAATTGGGAGAGTCCGCTTTGGGTAGGTGTTTGGGAATCTTTCCGTGGATGTTCGAGAGGGCGTGTGCCGAAGATCTACACAGGTACCTGGCTTTAACGATAGCATGTGCGTCTTCCCAATGCTGAGCCGTCAATCCATTCTGAAGCGCCATCGTTGTGATTGTCATATTTGCACCTTCTTTTGATTTGACGTGCTCGTTGAAGAAGTAGGATGATTACGAGTTTGTGTGTACCATGAATCACTTGGTGCCAGTTTTTGTGGGGTTTGCATTCAGCCAGCATAGTAGAGCCCACCTCGCCGGGGCTTCAAGCATCCCATGTTTTTTAGAACCTCCCACCCTAAACCCCAAGCCCCAAACCTAGTTTAGGGTTTAAGGCTTAGGAAACCCCATACTCTAAATAGCACCATTACAGTAGTTTCCATTTGATTTTCCATTATTCCCATATGACCCCAAAAAACCATTGCGATGTTCCTCCGACCTAGCAGCCCCTCCGAACCCTGAACCCCAAACAAGCTCTTGTGGCATGCCTGAGGATTTTGGCCTTCGCAGGCTTCATCGAGCTGGTTGTCGGGCCCTAACGGAAAGCGTAAGTGGAATGTGGGAGTTTCCCAAAATTAGGGTACCCTTATGGGGGTCCATATAATAAGGACTATAGTATTTTGGGGTCTATATTGGGGCCCCCTATTTCGGGAAACTACCACGTAGCTGCCGTAGTATGCATTGCAGGCCATGGTGAGGGTGTCAGAACGACAGCGATTGAGAAAAATGCAGATTGAGGGCTGGAGCTTCAGAATGCGCCATTTAGCGGTCAGGGTCAGTACCAATGGCCGAAAAATCACGTTTGCACAGGGTGACTTAGACAGTGCAAACCTCCCCAGAAAAAGCAAAGTTCCATTTCAGGGCAACGGTTACGTGATTCTCCAACGTCCGTATAACATATCCTTCAGCGTCCAGCGTCTCTTAACTCCTGTACTTCACATGGACAATGCTGTCCTTGCGAAGTTCGAAAGCATGCACAGGACCCTATAACAAAAAAAACCTACATACTCCAAGCGATCCCTAAAAATCCTTTGCATATGGGCCATTGTCTAAACTCCTGTAATATCCCCCGTAATAGCCCCTATAGTAGTCCTTTATACAATCCCTTATATAATTCCCTTTGAGCCTAGATTGTAGCTCATATGCTCATGTCGTCTCCGCAAGGTCAACAAGAAGACTGCCGAGCCAGGAAATTACGGCTTCTCGGCAGAGCATTTAGGGTTTAGGGTTTAGGGGTAATGAAGAAGCCTGATTCATTAGACTATTTTGCTGTAACAGAATAGATTGATGTAAGAAGTCCAGGTGAATAGAAAGATTATCCCTCATAATCCCTATGTACCTGCATTCGAACACTTCCCAAAACCCTGTTCTCCCTAAATCCTAAACTCCAAATCCTAAACCCTAAGCCCCAAACCCTAAACTCAAAAACCCTAAGCCCTCAACCCCAAACCCTAAATCCTAAAACCTTAAACCCTAAACACCAAACCCTGGTCGGGTTGCACGGAGGCCAGGGATTCCTGGGCCTCGGCGTTTTGGGCTTCGGCAACTCCATCAACGACCCTACGGCCAGGGAGGGGAAGGTTTAGGGTTTAAGGTTTAGGATTTGGGGTTTGGAGTTTAGGATTTCAGGTTTAGGGTTTAGGATTTAAGGTTAAGGGTTTAGGTCTAGGGTTTAGGATTTAGGGTCTAGGATTAAGGTTTAGTGTTGTAGAGGCTTTGTGGGTCAGTGATGTAGTATTTTTTGGGTGGGGGGGGGGGAGTTTCATAGAAGTTTCCTTCATGAGGGGGCGGCTTCCATCCTGAAGATGATGTCCTAAAGCAGCGAAACCCAACATGTGGCACCCACAAGCTTTTGAGAGGTCGGAGCATGTCATTGAAGAGAATGCCGGTCCTTGCAGTTGAGTTCCTTTTGCAGCAAGGGGTCCCTATATAAAATCAAGTTACGATGCGGATCTCAAACAGTAAACACTAAACCCAAAGCTGTTTAGGCAAACTCTCGTATCCTAAAGCACCCAGCCTTCCTGAGCGCTTTGGAGAGGAGCTAAAAAGGTCTTGCGCCAGCTGACAGGGCTAAAATCTAAACTCAAAAGCCCTAAGCCCTAAACTCTAAGCCCTAATAAGGGTTTAAGGGTTTAGGGTTTAGGGACCCTAAACCCGAAACCCTACAACCTAAGCACTGCTAGATGATAACTATCATATCATGTTCAAACCCTGCTCCATCTGCTGAAGTGCAACCCAGGACATTGGGTAGGCCCCTGGGACACTTGGTAGTTTCCATAGATAAGAGGACCCCAGTATAGACCCCAAACCATTATAATCCTTATTAGTACCCCAAAATGGTACTCCTGATTTTGGGAAAACCCACACATAACATTTCCGTAATGGCTTTAAGAGGGGACCCCATACGAACATCTTTCAATGGGCTTCAGGGACTAACCCAGGAAACAATCCTAACTGCAGAAGCAATGCCCGTCTCAAAACCACAAGTTCCGCTTCAGAGTCGGTATTCAGCTTGTTCCTATGGGGGTGGCCGATCGCATGAGATGTTGCCAAGCTCGGATGTTTCCTGATGCCGCAGTTGCGTGCGAAGAAGCTCAGCGCTGAGATCGCAAACGGCCGACTGGCGTGCCGTGACTGAAAAGTAGTATCTTTTTCGTGGGGTTTCGAGAAAATGGTTTTCCTTGGGCACCCTCATTATTGTATAATCGGTATTACAGGGAAACCAGAATGGGCCCTATTTGTAGAAACCCTATCTCCCCCATTTGGCTCAGGATGCATGTTCCAGAGACTCTGCAAGATAGCCTTGGCTTTGTGTTAATTTTAGAGAATGAAGGAGGGGACAAGAAAGGGATTACATGATTGCATATATCCGGGCTATTACATTCATCCGTTCCTCCATTGACTACAAAAAAACCCGCAAATAGGTCAACTTCCTGAGCACATCTCATTCACATCCTGCGATTTCTGAAGTTGCGGGTCCGCTCATACCCCTCAAGCACAAAACCTTCATAAGACTGTCACTCTGAAACCAGTCCTAGTTGAAGATGGCACTTCTGGCAACACCAAACTTAAGCACTACCCTACGCTCAAAAATTTAGAATCCTAACTTCTCAGTCTTCAATTCTCAGCCTCTGATCCTCGGAGATACCCAGATGGTAAGGATGATGGCCATCATCGGCATGTTCTTTCAGGCCTGAGCTAGGGCCTGCGATTGGTTTGGGTCTAGGTACTGAATAAGCATAGCTCTTCACTACACCAGGCACTGGTAGTCTAAGTAAGGAGAACACAGATCACTCAGGAAACAGACTGCGTCTTTTCTCGTAAGGTTCACATGTTACAAAGCTCCCCCAGGTACCCAACTCAGAAAAAGATGGGCCGCAAATTATTCTAGATAGGAACCCGGTTGCGGCCAAACTTTATGCTATAGAGCTTTGAACTCATTTGGAAGGGATTTGGAACCCCAATGCAGTAAACATGGATGCGACACTTGCCCCCCAAAGATGGGACCCTTTGAAAGTTAGGGATCCTCATGACACGGGTCCTACTACTCTGGGGCCTGAGCCTGAACCTTAAACCCCTAAACCCTAAACCCTAAAACTTCTTCTGGAGCCATACATAAGGGGGCATTGGTTTGAGATACTTCGAGGTGTCAGAACCTGTACTGTACATTATAGGCCAGGCCAGGGTCTGCCTAGTGAGGTGTGGAAGCTGTTTAGGGATTAGGGTTTAGGGATCAGGGTTTAGGACTGAAGCAAACCCAACATCGAACCTATTACAGCTTAAAAGGGCAGAGGGTAGCAGTCAGAGTTTAGTGTTTAAGCATGAGGGTAACCCTAAACCGAAACCCTAAAACCCTAAAAACCCTAAACCCTAAAACCCTAAACCCTAAAACCCTAAACCCTAAACCCTAAACCCTAAACCTTAAACCTTAACCCTATGTAAACCCATAACCTGAAAGGATGGTCTTACTGGATCTGCCTGGGGAGACTGGGCCAACTACACCGACTCCCCTCTCCGTGCTTTCGAGGAAGTCGCTGGGCCCAACGTTGGGTGTTTGGGGATGTATAGTTTAGGATTTAAGGCTTCAGGTCCCAAAGCTGGGTGTTTTGGGATGTAGGGTTTAGGATCTAGGGCTTGAGGTTTGGGATCTAGTTTAGGGCGTGAGTGCTGTTATGGCTTTGTTTCCTTTTGCTGTTTGGGCTTCGGCTTCAGTGTCTAGGGCATCGGGTTGGGGTTTACTGGATTAAAGGGACCGGTATGTGCTAGGTGGACCCCCCACCTACTATAAATATAAGGGATAATAAGGTCATAGTAGTGTCCTGTTATATTGAGGAAAACACCTCTAGTACAGGGTGCGGTGTCCTCCTAAGCTATGTGGAAGGATTCAACGGCAGCGTGGCAAACTCAGCCCGTTCGGGAGCTTTAGAGATTTTTGTTCTTTCAGTTTTGACTTCGAATTGCGCACGTCAGCTGATCCAGGATCACTGCTTGTGCAGCACCCATGGAGGTTTTTGTGAACAAGTCAATCTAGTCAGTTCTGAAGTCTGCAATGCGCTTCCATTGGCAGAAGCATAGGAAGAGCCATCAAGAACACAGGTAGTGTAAACACCTTGTACGTAACAGCATGACAGCCAGTGAGACTTCAGTTGCGCGCGCTGAGCGTGAAATCCCATCCGACCAGATAAGCCCTAAAACCAGGAAGAAAAGGTAATCCCTACATAAACCCAAGCTTCCATCTCCTGTTCCATTTGATTCTCCATTTTTGGGGTAAAAATCCTGATGCATCCTAATTCGTCCTTTTCCTTGGGATGGCTAGACTCAAGGAAGTTTCAAGGGGATCCAGGACGTAGAACTCTCTGAGACTACCCTGACACTCCCTCAGGTCCCTCTTCAACCCCGCATGTAGGCCCCCATATGCGTTATAGTCTAAACTCCTAGTATCCCCCTTAATAACCCCTGTAGTAGTTCCCTATATCATCCCCTATATGGTAGTTTCCCTACGTAGGGGGACCTAAAATAGAGCCCAAAATATCATAATCCTTATTATGGGGAAACCCATGAGGTACCCCTAGTTTTGGAAACCCCCATCTGACCCCCTTTAAAGAGTTTAGACTATGGGTCATATTAAGGAGTGCCCTCAAGGCTTCCTAAGGCTGAATCCCTTCCTTGCCGTGTAGTGGAAGAGCAGCTGAGGAGACTGGCGTCCAGCCGCCGGCCGCTGCGGCAGAAAGTGTTTTGAAGGGCTCCCCCCAAAAATCTTAGGTATGTATGGAGATTCGTTTGAAACCCCTAAACCCTAAACCCTGAACCCTAAACTGTGAACCCATACGCTGACATAATGTGGGGATTCCACGGGGATTGTAGGGGAAGCCCTTGAGGATTGCATTGGGTCTGTTTTGAGAGACTCCGCTTCTTTCGATCAAGGCGGCAGAATCTCATCATTGTTCGCATGGCACATGCTCCAAATTCCGAGAGGATTTTGGGGTGTCCTGGAACCAAGGTACCCTAAACCCTAAATCCTCCCAAGGCAACAGCTAAGGTTTGAGGGTTCTGAGCAAATCCATCTGTAACCTCATTGAGCTATGCGCGAGCGAATTGTTGATGACTTGCTGGCTAATTTAACTTCTAGCGGCGGCTTGCAAAACCCCACAGCATCACAAGTCGGGTCCAGGATGTACTTTCAAGAGCGGCTGCGCGTGGAGCCCATTATTCTCAACTAAGGAATATAGCCTAAACCACATTAGGAACCCTAGTACCATTCAGGGTCTATTCCTTAATCAAGGGTTATTGGGCGCTCTGGGTGGGTGGTACTCCTAAAGGCGGGAGTAAAGCCCTCCAATGTTGTCCAAGGTGGAGTTCCCCTGATACTGGGTACCAGGGCTCGGGTTGATGGTTTAATCGGTTGCTGGTGAGGAACTTAGATGAAGTTACTATAGTAAGGAAACCAAATATTTACTATATGCCCATATTATTATTATAGTAACTTAATCTAAGTTCGTCTTTAACATCAACCCAATTTAGGGCTTGAAGGTTGTGAACCAGTTCAGCCTAACTTGTAGGAGGCAATACATCAGGGTTTGGGTCTCATTGAGCCTTAAAACATCCTTGAACTTTCAAACTCTGAGCCCTAAACCCTAAACCCTAAAGCGCACGGTGCTCGAAGCCAAGCAAAGAAATTGTCGACCCTGAGCGGTGTCCAAACTGAAGCGCGGTCCGCTCAAGACCCAGCCCTCACCCCGGAACCCAACGGTAACCCGCGAAGGAGACAAGGCGCCATTGAAAAATCATATGAGCTATAGTCTAAGCCCCTCAAAGGGGGTTGTATAGGGGACTACTTCAGTGGATATGAAGGGGGATGCTAGGAGTTTAGGCTATAACCCTATAATCCTCTATCTAGTCCCAGTTGTCCATTTCATTTTCCATTTTCTTTGCCACATGATTCTCGATTATTGTGCAACCTAAATAACCTGCTTTTCCCTACCCTAAACCCTAAACCCTAAACCCATTTTATAGCCCCGGTAAGGTCGGCTTCTGGGACCCGCTTGGATTGTCCGCCAGCGGCAACGTCTATGTGCCACAGCTGCGTGGAGATTCCTACTTGGAGGGTCAGGGGGACTTGGTCACTAGGTTGATAAGCCCTATAACTTAGGTGGACCCCCCACCCAGTAATAGTGACTATAAGGGATAATGGTAATTCTATTAGGTTCCTCTTATTCCTACTATACCACTATTACAGGGTGGGGGGTCCTCCTAACCTATAACCCAATATAGTGGCCCTACTTATCCCCATTATTAGCCTATTTACGAAGTCCCCTTGACCCTCCAAGTAAGCTCCTGAAGTTTATCTAGGCTGTGGCGTTTTGGGGTTGAGGAGGTCACTTCTAACAGAATCCCCTCAGAGAACCTAATATGAGTAGTTCTCAACGTTAGGGTCCCAATTTGGAACCCTGAAGAGTAGGCGCCGTAATATATTCTATAACCTAAAGAAGTCCATTACTTTGAGAACAGCCCATACCCTAAACTCTAAACCCTAAGCCCTAAACCCTACACCCTAAACCCTAAACCCTGCTTGAAGCCTTACCGTAGATATTTATTTTCTCATGAAGCACAGAGAATGAGTTCGGGGTGGGGGGCTATGCAGCGTGTACTTGGACCCCAAAAGTAGGTAAAATAATAGCCCAAAACCTCTTAAAACAGCCCAAATGGCTATTATTCTACATGCTCTTGGGGGTTCAGCTAGGGATTGGAGCTGGGTGGGTTGGGTGTAAGATTCAAAGTTGGAGGTGGGTCATCGGATGACGCGCAGGCACCGGAAGAAAGAAGTCCACTTTATGGTCAATGGCTCAGGGTTAAGCAGCCGTAGCCTGGGATGAACTAGATGGACTCAAGAAGAACAGCCAGTTCACTGCTGCTCCTGAATTAGTCTTTTAATTTTCCATTCCCTAGCCGGCACGCGCTAGTAGGAAATCACCTGCTTAAAAGGCTCCATATAGGCAGTAGTACTTTGTGTTATTTGCTATGGTCCTTGCAACGAGATATACACGTGCTTTCGGCACCTGTCCAGGAGGGATCCTATTTGCTGTTCCTCGGTGAAGGCTTGCAAGCTCTTCCCCTTGTCTCAGTATTCAAGCGAGCGACCCCGGCTCTAAACCTGAGATCTAGCTCCCGAAGCAGGCCTCGACCCAACCCCCCCTGCCACTTCTCTAATCCTACTTCTCATGAAGTTATGCAATCCTTACAAATCTGGGGGTGGGTACCTCCGGGTCCTTGAATGAAGGACATCGGCGTGGATGTCTCTCTAAGGGTCCACGTACCTAATAATTATATACTTACCCACAACCTGTACTATAATTACTATTACCCAAAGCCCAAGTACCTAATTATTGGATGCTTGGACCCTCTGGGTCTGTTTTGAGGCATGGCCATCTAAGGACTTCAAGCGACGACGAGAGGTTGAGCTGAAGCATGGCGCCTCGGTGGCCTTGTTGCTAACCATGTCACGTTGAAGTGCTAGGGGTCCAGAGGTAGTCGTGTTTAGGGCTTAGGGTTTAGGGTTTAGGGCAAGTGGTATCCATGTTTCATCTTGCTCAGATATATGAAGTGGCTCCCTTAGATTTAGGGTGAATCAACTTCAGTGGATCATTCAGGATTTGAGTGGCTCCATTTGGTAATTCTTTAGAATTCCATTTGAGTCTCAGCGTTTCTCCAAGACCCAGGTAGCACTTCCAATAATACAGTAGCTTCCATTTTCTTTTCCAGTTACCCCATATTCCCGTTGCGCTATATTTCCCCATACTTACAGCCTCTATCATCTCTACATGGCGACATGATCCCTTCATAATCCCTCTGTCTCTTAGCAGAACCCTAAGCCCTAAACCCTAAACCCCTCTATGAAAGCATGGTCTGATGGCCAGGTCGAGTCGCCATGTTTGCGACCATTGGATACATCCTGCCGGAGTACTGGCGCTTCCCAGGCTTAGGGTTTAGAGTTGAGGGTTTAGGGTTTAGAGTTCAGGGTTTAGGGTTTAGAGTTCAGGGTTTAGGGTTTAAAGTTCAGGATTTAGGGTTTAGAGTTTAGGGTTTAGAGTTCAAGGTTTAGGGTTTTCTAGTCTAGGGTTTCGAGTCTAGGGTTTCGGGTTTCGAGTTTAAGGTTGTGAGTTTAGGGCTTAGTTTAGGGCTTCCCAGCCTTAGAGTTTACTTCTTTGCTGAGTGGTTTGACCATTTTGGCTTTATATATCCGATTATCAGAATTAAAAAGTTGACATTTTAGGGGCCAGGAAAGTCATCAGCTAGGTGTATAATTGTTGGGATTTGGTAGCTTCCATAAATAGGGGGACCCCAATATAGATCCCCAAATACAATAGTCCTTATTATAGAGAGCCCCAAAAGGGTACCCCTAATTTTGTGAAACCCTAAATCCAAAACATCTATAACCCCTATACAACCCCTATATGACCCCTATAAACCCTTTGAAACTACCTCTATTTTTGGGAAACTCCCATTTCTTTAGGAGCTCCGAAGAACACTGGCGATCCCTCAGCCCCCTTACGACTTCAAAGCTGGTACGCCCGAAGCACGCAGACCGATCCAAGCCACACATCCTATTAGAAAATGGGTTGCTGTGACGGAATTTGAACTAAGTTCTCAGAATGGGCATATATGTATATATAACAACTATGGTTTCCCCCATTATAGTACCTGTATAGCACAATATAGTAGTTTCCATGTTCTTTTCCATGCCTTCAGTCCCAGCTAGCCAAAGCTAAGTTTTCGGGCCTGTCCCGCCAGGCTACCTGTCCAAGTACTTGGACATTAAGTTCTCCGATGTTCCCAACGGTCTCTCCGCCTTGTCTAAGGCACCTCGATCCTGATAGGGTTTAAGGTTGAGGGTTTTGGGCAGGACCGTTTTTACAAGGTTTAGAAGGTCCACATGGTCTGGGGTTGACAGCTTGTGAATTCGGAGCTTAGTGTTTGAAGTTTGGGGTTTCACTCTGAGGGCTTATGTTGAAGGAGCCGACTGTTGGGGGGCATGCAGCATTCAGAGGGGATGCGAGCTTGGTGATGAGAAAGTGGGGTCGGCAGCTTGAGTTATGGCTGCCTATTTGCACAGTCAGACAGCGGCATTTGGAGTAGATGCCAGCATGTCTGATTGTATCTGATTGGTACACAATGGGCTTCCCCTAGCCTTCACGGTGGCGGATCCATGTCATGATCCTTGGCAAGCTGCTTTGAAGTTCAAGGGTCTTGGCTTCTGCGACTGGCCCACTCTGGAGAAATTCAGCTTATGAAGGGTAGCTACATCAGGCCAATCAAGCGCGCACCCAAAAGGTAGCATGCGGGAAAGCCCGGAAACCCAAGAGCTTCGCAACTGCATTCCACGTTCTCACAAAGCAACCGTGAGCGAACTTTTTCCAGCTGCCGCTTCCGTTCATACTTCTTGGATCCCAAATCCGGAATGCACGGCCAGAGGTCCAACCCAAAACCCCACACCCGCAAATTATCCCTTAACCTCTTACATGTTACTTGGGTAGATCATGCCTGCAATCCTTTTGCAAGTTGTTGCCTTAAAAGCCGTGTAACCTCTTAGAAAAGGCCCAGTATGTTCCATGGGATGCCTTGACCCTAAACCCGTAACTCCTTAACCCTATGAACTTAAACCTTGGGTACTGCCCCCACCCAGTAATAGTCTAAATTAGGGGTCCTGTTAAGGGCTATATATAACCATATTAAAAAATATTATCCAACTGTTACTGGGGCGGGGGGGGGGGGGGGGACCCAACTTAAACCCTAAAGCCCTAAACGCTATGAACCCTAAGTCCTAGACCCCTAAACCCCTTGAACCCCAAACGCTATGAACCCTGTGAACCCTAAACCCTGAACCCCTAAACTCTATGAACCGTAAACCCTGTGTAAACCCTATGAATCCTAAACTCCTCTGAGCCCTAAACCTTATGAAGCCTATACCCTTAACCCGAAACCCGATTAACCCTAAACCCCTAACCCCTAACCCCTAAACCCCTAACCTCTCAACCCTATGAACCCTAAACTCTTAACCCCTTAACTCTGTGAACCCTAAACCCTTAAACCTTAAAGCCCTAAACCCCTTATATAACCCCAAGCCCCTAGTCTATGAGCCCTATAAACCCTAAACTCTCAAAGCCCTAAACCCTGAACCCTAAACTCTTAAAGCCCTAAATCCTCAAAGCCCCGGAGGTCCCTGCCTTCGGCTGGCTCCAGATTGTGGGCTTTGCAGGCATCATAGAGGTGCAGGCAGGACGGCCACGGCGGTTTAGGGGGCTTAGGGTTTAAGTATTAGGGTTTAGGGTTAGGGCTTAGGGTTTAGGGTTTAGGGTTTAGCGCTTGGAGTTTAGGGTTTAGTGTTTAGGGCTTAGGGTTTAGGGTTTATTTTTTTTCTTGCCACCAGGATGAACCCCTAGACCCCTAAACCCTAAACCCTGTATCCAAAGGCAAGTAGAGAGGAAGGGGGCTGCTTTTTGCCGGCAAATCCCGGCCATCTGCAGCAAACTACGCAATAAGCACGACGGTTAAGGGTTAAGGGTTTAGGGTTTTATCCTGTTCGATAGGTGGGTTTCCAAAAAGAAGGGGTTCCATTTTGGGGAGTGCAGAACAAGGACTATAGCATGTTAGAGTCCATGCGGGCCCCCCGTTTATGGAAACCCCGATATTCTGCTATGGTTTGCAACACTGCTGTTCTTTTCTTCTTTGATTTCTGCAGTTCCTACTTAACAAAGTTCCCCCAAAATCCCCAAACCAGGACAAGCTTTTTCTCATCTTGCTACACGCCAAGGAGCCTCTCAAAATCCCAAGTTGATCAGACCTTCAGGTCTACAACGAGCAGGTCAATGACGAGCCCGGCAATTATGGCGCTGGTTTCCTAGGCCGAGCCGGTTACACTGGAGACTTTACCAGCTCAGCGTGCGCTGTACGTGTTCTTGTCAGTCTTTCTTCAATGTATGCATCACAGCTTCACAGCATTGCCTCTCTGCGCGTGTGTGCCACATTGCAACATTTGTCATTCTTGTTACGTTACGGCTTAAACGGTGTGTTTCTACAGAAAATAGTCCCACACTACTTAAATTTGAGACTTCCAAACTAATGTAAAATGGCCAGTAATTAATGTGATAAGGACTGTACTTGTTCGGGGGATAAGGCAGCACAAGTACTCTAGGACCCCGCAAAGGGGACCCGTACCTAGATTTCGGAAGCTTCTCCCGAAGGACACTTCTGTACCGCGGGTCAAGTCTTTGAGTCTGATCCTTGGCCCTAAACCCTAATCCTTATAGTCCCCCTTAGGTGGATAGAATATGGGGTATAATTATGGGGATCTTATTAGTATAATATACCCAAAGCCATCTTCTATCTACTTAAGGGGGACTATAGGCCGATCCTTGGCTGTTGGGCGAGGCCTCCGCTCCGTTGGCATCATGAACACTGGCTTCCAAGACCCCGAAGTCCGATGCTGGGCTTGTGTCATGTGGGTGGTTGGCAACATTATGGTCCCTTTGTGGGTACCCTAAATATTCGGTGCTGCATTTTAATAGGGATCCAAAAAAGGGACCATAATTTTGACAACCACCCATGTAGGATCAGGTTTAGCGTCTAGGGTTTAGGGCTACTATTCTTTTAGAGCTTAGAGGCTGAGGGTGTAGGGCTTAGGACATCAGGGTTTAGGCTAGTGTACTGTAGCGGCAGATGACAAGGTAGGGACCCACATGCATAGAATGATGGAGAATCAAATGGAAACTGGGTTTCTATATATGAGCGTTATCTAGTGACTATATTTAGGAAAGGCATTGTAAGGGCTCAAGTGCTTACAGTAGGGTTTGGGGGTATGCTGCTCTACGGCTTCGTAAGGATTGCAAGGAAAATGACAGTAATGTTCAGGCCTCTGAATTAATTAGTCTAAGTGGCGTGTAGCTGTGTGGACATGAGCCTTCTGGATGGGGTTTGGAAATCTGAAATCAGGGGTTAGGCATCCTGGAACAGACACATGCAGACATAGCGGATTTTGCGCCGCAAAGGGTGCAGGTCCACGGCGCGTGAGCCTTATGCGAAGGGAGCCTCAGCAGGTGTCAGCATCAGTAAGTATCGAAGACGACCAGGTTCTTGGAACCATGCCCTTACTTACTGCTTCTGAGAGGGCATAACGGAATATAAGCCCCCTATATAATCCCTATACTATATGATATACTCCATTTTCACTACTAAGAACTAACAAGCTCAGTAGCAAGGCAGAGCACAGCCATTTGGAATGGGTGAAAGGATGCAACACTCTCTCTCTCTCTCTCTCTCTCTCTCTGCAGATGTCCTTTCATAAGTTGGTGCACATGTCAAGAAGCAAAAAAAGACACAACGACAGCAGCATAGATGCTTCATCTCTCAGGAAAGAAGAAGCTGAATGCCGAACTTGCTAACGGACGACTGGCGATGTTCGCGATCATCGGGATGTTCTTCCAGGCACACTCAGTGTTTGTGTGGCTCAGGACGTTTTTGGTTGCTGTTTCCTGTGATTTGAATGCTAGGCTGTTTTGCCGTTCTGTCTGCATGCTTTGGAGTTCTAGGCTTTGATTCTGAAGCGCTCTTATCCTCTCTGCATTTGGCATCCTACCGCCAAATGAGGCCTGAATAGCTTTGAGTCAGAAACTCTGGTTTCGCAACGGGGTTCGGCGGTCATTACAGGACATAGGCTGTAACAGAATTTCCCGCTTGCAAGACACACTTGCCACAGAGTTATTTTTCTCTGGGCACACTGTACCAAGCATTCCTGACAAAGGTATGTAACAGCGGGCTGCGACAAAGGACAAATCAAAACGGGGTTTTGATCCTCAGCCAAATAAGCCCCAAACTGAGCATGAAACGATCGATCCTCATTTGCGCCTTTAGAGCCAGGAAATGTAGTCAATGTAGCTTACTGCTCCATAATTTGAGTCGTGAGGCTCCAGTCTGGGACATGAAGAGACGCTATCTGTTCAGAAGTCCAACCCGAGCCCACAGGAGGGGCCATAAGAGGCTTATAGATCGATTAACCAACGCAGGCCAAGGTACATGATAGTTATATAGCTAGCGAAGTTCTTTATATCAGGGAGAAGCGAGTAGAGTTCCGTCCGCCAACTGGCGTCTACCAAGATATCCTGGGGACCTCAGCCTATAGCTCTGGTTGTTTGGTGGCGATGGTATCACCTGTACACTTTGACTGCGTGCCCTCCACCTCAAAACCCAAGCTCCAAACCCTAAACCCTAAGCCCTAAATAGTAGTTTCCATTTTATTTTCCATTCTCCCCATATTACAACTCCAAAAACAACCTGCATATTACCCCAAGGGTACTATCAGAATCTCTTATACTAGGACCTCGAACCCTTTATGACAGGGTCAGGGCTAGTTGCGAATAGCCTTTTAATTTTAGAGGACGTGTATAGTCTACATCTCAGATTAGCGTATGTGAGCCCCGCCAATATCTCCTCTCACCCCTTGGTTGTCCCCTTCTAGTCCCTTAAGCCCTATAAACGCTGAAGCGTCTTACAGCTACCGGTGAAAACAAAACCCTAAACCAGCCTAAACCATAAAACCAGCCTAAAGCCCTAAACCCTAAAACCCCTAAACCCCTAAACCCCTTCACCCTAAAACCCCTAAACGCCTAAACCCTAAACCCCTACACCCTAACCCCTAAACCCCTAAACCCCTCCCCACTGCCAGGATGGCCTGACTGGTTCTGCCTGGGGTGACTGGGCGCAGCTCGCCTTCAAAGGGGCGCTTGGTCAGTCGGGGGTGATGGAGGGGGGGGTTTAGGGTTTAGGGTTGGGGGATTCAGTTCTAGGATGTAGGGTTTTGGGGCTTAAGATTCGCAAGTATATTGAACTATAAAGACCGTTCCTGCACCCCCGTCGAGCAGCAATCAGTGAAAAGGTGCATAGCAATAGTGGCTTCGTGCTTAAGGGTTGGAGAATAAAGCATTGAATAGGGGGTTTTGAGAGAATTGGAGTTTTCGAGTTGAGTGCTTTGGGGCGCGTAGGCGATGGTTTTAGATGTAAACCCTAAACCCATAAACCAAAAGCCCGAAACCCATTCCTTCTCTGAAAGCTTAATTCAACAAGGTCTCCCAGGGCTTAGGGTTTAAGGGGATTGGGTTAGCAGTGTTGCTCACCTTAGTTTAAGTTCCTTAACACCATTCGAAATGTTCCCGGACATTTTTCCAAACTTGCTTTTATTTTGCGGTCTGGTGTTCTGGGGCTTAGACTTCGACCATTCGAATGGTCTTCCCTAGCGGCTGTTTGGCTGCAAGGCCTTCTGTCTGACTGTCCTTTACATGCTTATGGGTTGCATCTTGTCAGGGGTTTAGGGTTAAACCCCAAACCCTAAGCCTTAGACCTTTAAACCCTACGCCTTGTAGGGTTTAGGGTTTAGACCTTACTATTCACGTGTTTGGGGGAGGGGCCTTGCCTTTGCCTCTCCAGCAGTTGACCACACGCATCTTACTTCGGCCAGGAACTATGCTGCTTCCCCGCTGCGTGCCTTCGAGGACGGCGGGCTACCGCGGGAAAGGATCACTGTACTGGATCAATGCTGGGGACCCTCTATACTTTTGGGGTATGGGATTCTTTGTGATTATGTAAAAAGGATCCTTTTTCTTCTGAGAGTAATAGAATCCTTTTCCTACCGGTTCATATGACCCATTCCCTCATTTCCTGCTATCAAGCAGGAAGTTTAGAAGTTAGGGGCTGTCAACAATCCCAAGTGGCAGCTGATGACTGATGAGTGTGACTTGAACATGACATGTAGTAGAAGAGCGCAGGAGGAGCTGGGTGTGCAGGCACCCGTGGGCCACTGGGCTCCACTTTGCAGTTTTCGTGGGTTGCGGGTTCCAGGATCCAAGGGTTTCAGTGAGCTGGATGTAATAAGTTTCAGGATCCAAGATTTGGGGCTTCAAGGTGTTCAGGGCGGATTGGTCCGGCTAGCGCATTTCCATAAGCTGCTGTTTAACGCCAGTTCATGGCTTCTCCCTGGTTTTCTGCCACAAATGGAAAAGACCTAATCGCCAAGTACACCCAGCCCATCAGAATCCCAACGGAGCCTCACATCTGGGTTTTCTTGGAAGGGCCTGGACCCTAAATCGTACTCCCTAAAGTAAAGGCTTCTTCCTATTTTGAATGGGTGTTTCCATACATGGCCGGCCCCAAGATAGACCATGCCATAATCAAACAATGGACTCCCAGAAAGGAGCCCCTCGATATTGGAGACCTTGAATCCCAAATCCCAAGCCCCATATAACCATATAGTCCCTATCACCCCATCCCCTTAAAGGGACCTCAACTTCGTTTATAGTGTCTTTCAAATTAAGGCTTCTGGGACCCGGTTGGCTACACCCGCGACGGAAGCGCGGAGACCTTCAAGCGACGCCGCGAGACCGAACTCAAGCATGGACGAGTGGCTATGTATGCAGCTTGGAGTCGTTCCAGCCCTTCCGTTAAGGGTTTAGGGTTTCGGGTTTGGAATGAAGGAACGGATCCCTATAGTATAACCATGCGGAGGGCAGGGAGCTGACTGGCAGCTTATCAATAGACGGGTGCTCTTTGTTCTCCGCTCTTCGTTTTGGTTTCGCCATCGATAGTTGAGGGTGCAGGCAGCGTGCATGGCTTCTGGCTTGCGGATTTAGAGTTAACAAAGTTGCCCAACAGCTTCCTTCGCCTCCAACGGTGCCTTCACTTTGCCTTTACACCCAGACCCTAAACCACAAAGCCCTAAACCCTAAACCCCTCCTCTAGCAGGGCAGACACGCCCTGCCCAGAAACCCGGCATGCGCTCTACCCAGGGAGCTCAAGACCCTTTAATTAAGGAATATAGCTTAAATCATATTAGAGACCCTAGTACCATTTAGGGTATATTCCTCATATAATTCCTATACAACCCCATATAAGCCCTATATAACCCCCACAAAATCCCTATATGTTCTTGGGTATATTCCTTAACTCTGGGTAGACCCTGAGCCAAGACTGGCACCAGGGGGGTGCAGCTGAGCTTTCGCCTAAACTCTTAATATCCAACTTGATAACCCACATTGCAGTGTTTAGGGTTTAGGGTCTAAACTCCTAGTATCCCCCTAGTAACACCTACAATGCTCCCTATATAATCCCCTATGTACCTGCCCTTTTGGGCAGTTTAGATTGTAGCTCACCTGAGTTCTGGACATGTGTGTCCTCATTTTAGTTTATTTTTACTTGCAGCTGAACCCTACACCCTAAACCCCAAACCTTAAACCCTACAGCCTTAAACCCAAAACCCTACATGAGGATGCTGCCTGAGGCCACAGTTGGATACATTGTGCCCGAGTACTTCAAGTGGCCTGGGTTCCTGTCGCCTTCCCTCGGATTGAAGCTTGGCGAGACCTGCATCCCATTTTGCTGGCTTTCCAATAGTAAGGTTAAGAATTGTAATAATAATAAAAATAATAGTCGTGAGAATAATAATACCATTAGTTGTAATAGCAAAAGTAATCGTAATAATGGTAGTAATCGTATACTATAGTATATTCTAGTATATCTTCGTATATTGGGGATGTATGGAATTAGGGACAACGGGTCTCATCCCTGTGGGTCTTTGGAGGAGCTCAGGCGATACACACGGGTGTATGGTCCCCCTTATATAAGTAGATAGAATATGGGGTAGAAATGAGGATCTCATTATACCCAAAGCCAGATTCTATCTACTTAAGGGGGACTATACATCATTTCTGGTCTCTTTTGAGCTTTTTGGCGCAAGCTAAACACACAGGGGTAGTTCCCAAAATCAGGGTCCCATTTTGGTACCCCTAGATATAAGGTGCCGCAAAATAGTCTATAACCAGACGGGTCCCATAATTATGAGAACAACCCACAGAAAGACCTCGAATGAGCTGCATCTCACTACCAATTTGCAGACCTTAGTTCTGGCTTTAGGGTTTTCGATTGTCCCAAAACAATCCCGACATATATATATATATATATATCTCCTCTTATAGTATAGAAGTTTTCAGTTTTCCCAGTATCCCAGCACCGGCATGGAGGCAAACAGTTCGACCACACCTTATGCCACGCTTGGTCAAACAGCCGCGTAAAATCCAAGAATCCAGCAGGAAGAAGTGGCCCGATTTCTTCGAGTGCCAATGTTTCGTGAAGTCTCATCAACAAAGCAGGTAGCCACAACTTTCGCCGCGCACGCGCCTGCAAAACATCTGGCTCACTATCGCTTTTGGGAGCTTCACTTGCCAAACGACTTCCATCGTCGACTGAGCCAAGTGTCAGTCGGAGCATGGCTATGCATATGCTGCAGTCTTTCTTTCACGGGAGTAACCTCAGTCACCAGTGATGTTCAAACATGTGTCCGTGAACTATCTTGTGATGGCAAAAGCTTTTTATGCAGGCACACACTCCGCCGAGGCTGCTACTGGCAGCTTGCTTTATGAAAGTGCACCTTCGGGGTCTCCAGGGCAACCTTTGTCGAGTCCTTTGGTAAGGATGTTGGCTTATTGGGGTCTATAATGGGCTTTAATCCCATCCCCCTAATATTAAACCACCCCACCCCCGCCGGTAATATGAAATAATTACTCTCATTATGTGGTAGATTATCATATATTGGGAATATTTAATATAGGGGGGGGGTGGCGGGGTTGAATGGAGGGGATTAGGGTGTAGGGTTGGATGTGGGCAGGACTCTTTAGACTGGAAGAGTGGCTTGAGCACATTCAGCCGAAGCCTACTGATAGGTACAAACCTGCATGTAACCAGGCGGTACCCTATAGCCCAATAAATTCTTGCAATTGCTATTATGGATTAGGCGAGGGTTTTCTAGTGCACCTACCGAGTACGGAAGATTATTGTCTGACGTGTGTCTGCATGTGGAGCTGTAGACGATGGCTTTGCAGAAAGCCCCAATAGTGACGTCCAAGACGAGAACACAAACAGCCAGAGCATTTGCACGTGTGACAACTGGTTCACCTGCCCAGAATGTAGAAGCCACCCCCCAACAAAGCATTTTGCTGTTGATATTCTTATGGTTCCTCCTTGTTACGCCTGTGAATCTGTACTCATGTTTTGACAAACCGTCATTTTAACCCTAAGATCCTAAACCCTAAACCGTGTGCCAAGGAGGCCGTGCGAGTCTGTCTCCGCTTGGATCCTGGCAACCCCTTTGCCCTGCGCTGCTGGGCTACCTTTATTTCGGGTTCAGGGTTTAGGGTAGATTGGTTACCCAGCCGCCCGTCTGAACAGTTACTACCGTACAAGATGCCCATTTAGGCTTACCCTAGGGATCCAAGTACACAAACAATGCCTACATTGGGCCCTAATATGCAAATATTACCTACATTGGGCTATTTGGATCCCTAGGGTTATCAATGGCTTATTAAGGAAAAATCTCAGACGGGCGGTAGTGTAGGGGGAGAGCTTAGGAGAATCCATAGCCTGTGGGGTTGAAGGTCTCCGGAATAGAGGCCCTGGGGATATGTGTGGGCAAGTGAGTCTCCACTGGGTATTAAGGATTCTGGAAGAGTCATTTGTCTTTGGGATTCTGTTGGTTCGTTAGCGCCGAGTTTTGCAGGTTTCTTTCCTCAAATTGTGGGAGTGCGCAGGAATGGCACAGGACAAAAAAGTTTGTACAGCGTCGCAGCATGTACACTATGACGTTCATGAATGCCACAGAACTTTCATAATGTAGCCTTCATGTGCGTCCATGTAGCCTTGGGATATTCTGCACATTGCCTGCAGTCCTGAACTTGCTCAGGCGTCCTTTGCACGACCCGCCTCCGCCAAGGGCGTGTCTCAGCCATGAGACGAGCACCGCGACTGCTTGGACAAGATTTGGCATCAGACATTCTCTACAGGGCCACCAACCCTAGGTTTTTAAGGTATCCATAAAAAAACTGTACAGGTCCTAGTATTCTGGGGTGCGAAAATGGGACCCTCCCTTTAGAAGCTACCTCATCATTCATTGGACATCGATGTGAAGCCAGATTTCCACCTAGCCCACCTGTAGCAGCATAGCTAAACACATGGACAAGGAGGACGAGAGCCCAATTGGGAGATAACTGGCAACATAGAAGCTCCTCGTGTTTTGGTTTGGACCACCCAACCGACAAGAATTTCGACTTCGGGAGGTATGCAAGGACTGGAATGTTGCTACCACCCTCAGCCAAGTTGGAAACCTCATCCCTGCAATCGGACTATGCCGTATAGCTCCCCCGAAACTTAAGATAGGGCTCAATGATGCTGTGGTTGCTATTTCTTTTTGGTGCACTCCGGCATACCTACCTATTCACTCCTACGACAACCTGTTGCACCTTGCACCCGTAGCATTCTGTAGAGGTCTGTAGTACCTGTGAATCGACATTGAGCCAAGGAACTTGACGAAGCGCTGTGCCTGCACCGATCCATGCCGCTTGGAGCCAGCCCGGCCCAGTGGTCACTGGGCGTATTTGTTTGGATGCAGGTTTCGGTTTGGACGGCTTATGTAGCTAGTAGGCATAATTACTAACGATGGCTGTAGCGGTGTCAGCAGGGAATGGAAAGAAAACCAATTTTTTTTGTCTTACTGGAAAAATTTAGGGACTACTATAAGGAGCTACAGTATTCTTGCACCCCTTGCTAACCAGTGTCTGACCACTACTTTAGTTCTTGCTGCCTCTTCGGTCTGCAGACAGGCACCCTTGCGCGTACCACCAGCAACCTTGACTTTGGACCCGCTCTCAGGTTCGACTCCTTTCGGATTGGATTGGAGGTCGTGCGCTTGCCCGCATGTTTGTTGTACATCCTTGAATCCTTAGTATGTGCCCAGGTAGTCCAGGCATTTTTGCGATAGGGAGCGCAGGTCCATTTTTGAACAGCTCCAGCACCGAGCGCCGGCAAATGTGACACGGCTCCCATACTGTTCTTTGTGTTAAGGGGCCGACTTTTCCTTGAGAGGTTTAATGCTGCATGCCTGTCAGTAGGATGTAACCATGGAAGTTGCACTCACTTGCGCCAAGTTGGACATGCGGTCATGGGCAAGCCTTTTGTGACATCATGTTAATGGATGGCACCCTAAACCCTAAACCCTGATATTCATCTCCCCTCTATCTTTCCCCTGAGAATCGTGTCAGGGAGCTCCAGCAGAAGCCTTAAGCTGGGACAGGCCCTGTGAGAAACCCCTGTAATATACTATAATATACTATGATATACTATACTATCTAAAACTATACCCTATAATATACTATAATATATTAGAAGAAACTATAATCTATTATTTGGAGTTCTCTTAGGATTTCCTTCCAAGGGTCCGTCTTCGGGCGTCCTATTTTGGAGGGCCCTGCGAATCTACCCTGAGTGCAGATGAGTGCAGTGGCTTCGACATTTCCAGTTAGCCCTTATAGAGCAGCCGATGTATGTTTACATAACCTTATGTATCCCTACCCCTGCAACCACTTATCCCTCCCCTAATTTGAAATCCCCCTCACCCCTACCACGAAATACTCCCATTGTGGTATATTCTTCTATTATCATATGTTGGGAATATTTTATGATATTGAAAGTGAGGCGGGGTGGGGTTTTTTCATATGAGGGGCAGGGGATTATCTCTGTTAGATAGAACCCTAAACCCTACCCCTACAACCACTAATGGTGTGCAGGCGGAACTCCTGGTCTCCCCAAATGGCCCGCGGCCTGCGGCTCTCTGCGAGAAGGCAGCCGCATCTGCTGCTGTCTCCCCAGACTCTTGACGGATCATCCAGGGTTTCGGGTTCAGAGTTTAGGGTTCATGGTCTAGGGTCTTGTGTTCAGGGTTTGGGGTTTTGGGTTGAGGCTTTACAGAAATTCTACAGGGTTCACGTCCTGAGTTTTGGGAGGAGATTTGGGCACGGGTTTGAGCGAGTTTTGTGTTTTGCTTTTTGGCCTTATAAACAGAGCTTGTTATCCGTTTTTGATCCTCAAGGGCGTGGTTTTTCGATTCAGGGTTTAGGGGAAGGGTTCAGGGATTAGCAGGACCCCCCCAACTGCCCTTAATGGCATCCAATGTAGGTCGTACTTGTGGGTGTTTAATTGCTTTGGCTCCATAGAGGTTACTGGGGGTCTAGGTGCGGTCATATGGGGGTTTAGGATTGTGCGTTCAAGTAGGATAAGAGGACTTTTGCAAGTTTCGGTACAAGGTTCTACATGCAAGGTTCGTTGGCACGAATTTTTTGGTGGGAGTGCTTCCGTGGTCTTGCCGATTGTGGCTGTAGTATTCAATCCAAACGGATTCAAGTGATGATTTCAGGAAGTGGACGGCGAGATGACTTGCAGCAGTACATGACTTTAGGGCGGTGCAGAGGGCTTGCAGGTATTGATGCCGGTTTGGGCGTTCAGCAGAGCTACTGGACTGGGAAAGATATGGTAGTTGCTGAAAATACTTGATCTGCGACTGTGCGAGTCTTCCTCATGACGACCAAACCGCACATATTGGGGGCTTTATGGGGTTTAGGGATGTTTGGGGTTTAGTGTTTACAGTTCCATAGTTCCGGCTAAGCCGCTAAAATCCGCAACCTTGACAAGGTCGGCAGCGGGGCGCTATGGGGGCTCTACGCCACGAGCCTGCTGGTGAAGCTGCATCGGACCTCCTTCGACCGAGGCTGCGTAGAGCAAGTGTGGGGTTCACTTACCGGGGCAGCAGGGGTTAGTTAGGGCTCATTAAGGGTTTCCAGAAGGGGATACAGGGTTTAAGATTTAGAGATTAATGGCATGCAAACTAGCTAGGGCTACATAGGGATATATAATATAGGGAACTGACGATAGAATTTCTTTTCTTATTGGGCCGTTTATGGGGACTATTACAAGGATCCAGTCCTTGATTCTTGCGAACGAGACGAACCAGAGGCAACTTCAGGGTTTCGGATGGAAGTTTCCCAACATCATCCTTGGAAGGCCGAGGGGGAATCCTAAGTCCTAAATCTCCTAGACTCCCTGTGCACGTACGGAGAACCCAACTTCCGCATTACCAGGATCGAGTTTTTTGGATGCATCTCAAGACCCGAGCATGCCAGTAGAAGTTTTCGAGCAAGCCTGCAATCTTGCGTCCCTTCACAACCTTCCACAACACGATGCTCCGCCTTGAGTCTGGCTTCTGTGACCTAGTTGCCCTTTCTGCAGCTAGATAATCCGTTACAGGCCTAGGTTATCCGCCCTCTACCGAGCTACCGAACCCAGTATGTCCCAGAGATGCTTTCTGCTACAGAGAAGATACCAGGATGAGGCCACCCAAACCTCAACGATGAAATAGGAATCTCTTGGATGTAACGTTCTTACAAAACCCACCCAAAATTTGAAAGAAAACATGCCGAGGCCCTGGGCACAGAGCTCATTAAGCCTTGAACCATATCATCCATGTGACTCCCCCAAACCCATGAGCCCCTGAAACATAACGTATCCCTTGCAACCGCTACATTCCCCAGACGTGGAAAACAGGAAGCTCCCATCTGAACAGTTCGCAATTTCTAAGGTTGATAATCCAAAGAACCAGCTGCAAGCATCATGTCTACCTGGGTTCCAGAGAACTTAGACAATACGGTACGTACCCCATGCTTGCAGAAGCCTGGCAAGGCACTGCTGAAGAGCTGTGGCGCTGCACCGTGCGCGCAGTAAGCCATGCGCCCTTGTGCAAGGCTTTGGGCTTATGGTGTGGGATTAGGGTTGCGGATTTAGGATTGGTCTGTGAGGTAATTTTGTGGAAAGCACATCTACCCCCCTGGAATTAACATGGAACCCTATTCAGCTCTTCTCGTGAAAAGGAAAGCAGTCTACCCAGAGATCCCCCTAGCCCTAGTCCATGCTTCTCTTTACACTCAGAGGGTCCCTCTTGCTTTCAGGAACACCTTTGAACGTGGGATAAAGCGCAGGTACAGCATAGGCCCCTACAGGCAGGCCATTCGATCTGCAAAGAGTGTGCAGAAAACCATCAACCGCAGATCCGATACCCAAACCCTCTGATGTCTAAATGCAGGAACACAAAAAATGTCGTGTCATCTAGAAAACCCTAAACCGTATATTACACCCGCTATAGTAACTGTAACTTACGTTAAGTTCCTCAACACAAAAAGTGTCTTGTCATCTAGCTTCAGAGAGCTTCCATTCCCGACTCCCTTCCCGACTCGCTACTCTACAGCCCTGCCGAAATTCTACCATTCTTCTACAAACCCTGAAGCAACCCAATGGCTGTTCTACATCCTCAAAAGCCCCCTTGAACTGAACCGGCACATCACTCCCTGGCCTTCCCACATCCTCTAACTACGTGGCAGCTTGGGGATGATAGATATTCTCCTATATTGTTATAGAACGGAACCTGTCCTCAAATAATTTCGTGGCCTTAAAAGTCCTCAAATTCTGTACCCTAAACCCTAACTTAAGTAACCCTCAAAGCAGGTCCTTTGGCTGCTCCACCTGGCTGGTTGCGAGGTGGGCTTCCGTATAGTTAAAGTCAAGGGGCCCCTTTGAAAGGCCTTTGGGTCAGGGTTTTAGGGTTATAAAGGGGTTCTATGAATATGCTTAGGGATGGTTCAAGGTTTAAAAGGATATGTTTCAGGTCATGGAGAATAAAACGGAAAACAAAACAAGACATGAAAGGAAACTGGATTTATGCATAGGGGTTTGTGGGGATTAGAGCTTGGCGAAAATTTGGAGGTCCCAATATGGAGGATTATAGTGTTGTCAGGGCCATATTCGGGTCCCGTGTTTATGGGAACCCTGCCCCTGTTTCTAGACCCTGGTTGGGTATGTAGGGTTTAGTAATTAACCATGGTCGAAGTTGAGAAAATTCTGTTTCTATGCTACTCAAACCCAATAAGGAGGGTAAAGCTGGGATCTTAATAAATAGTCCAGTAGGGAATCAGGTTTTGGGGATGGATGGTGTGACTTTTGTTCAGTAGCTTGCCGCTTACGTTCTCGCTTTCCTTACTTTGTTTAAATTACTCAGAAGCACGGACCTAGTTCAGAGTTAGGGCCAAGAAGTTATGGGACCTGACTGTTGACTCCAACGCTAAGCTCACTTACATTTGCTCGCTTGGAACTTGTATGGTTTTCAGTAAGACCAAGGCCAGAACTGTTGTTGCCAATGTTCACGTTGCGGCATTTTTGTGTTTTTTATACTCCTCCAACTGCCGCTTGTCAAGTCTGCTGCTGCCCCCAAGGTTTGTAAGGACGTAGGTCTTCCCCTAACAAAGCACCCACTCGTAATAGGTATATGCGCGCTAATATATGATGGTCCTCCTGCATTCTTTTCAGTTAGTTGGGGGCTTGTTTTGAAGGGGAGCGGGCTTTTTGATAAACCTAGAAGAGCTCCTGCCAGGCGCGGCCAGGAGGGCCCGAGCCGGCGCCGGACGAGGAGGGCGCGGCTTAGTAATTATGGAATTCTTAAGGGGGGATAATGGACAAGAAAATGGAAACTACTAAGTTATAATAGGGTATATAGTGGGCTATAGTCTCCCTTAACTAGATAGAATATGAGTCCCATAGCTAACTAAGATATCCTTCAGGCTCCCAGACAGCCTAAGGGCACTTCAGGTCCGCCTCAAAAATATCAAGGTCAGGGAATTTAAGATTTGGGGTCAGAGGGCTCTTTTTCGATTTTATGTCAAGACTATGATGGTGAAGGGCATGGTGGTGTCGGGGACAGCATGATGATATTGGAAGCGATTTTGGCTCCAGTCTTGCGGTTAACTTTTCTCTTGGCGTGGTCTGTACGGTCATTGTGGCCATGCCTCTTCATTCATTCTACTGCCATGCGGATGATGAGTTCGGTCACTGATCGGTATGGAAGAGGATGGTTCCAGGGCTTTAGACTCCTCAGACACTTACTTGGAGGCTCAGGGAGACTCAGTACGTAGCTTATTAACCCCCATAACCCATAATATAGAAACGCTAGTTATCCCCATTAGTAACCCACTTACTACGTCCTCTGGCCCTCCCCTGAAGCGTTGCCCTTTTGCAGAAAGCCTCTGTTGATGCAGGCTCAGGGATGAAAATGGCTCAAAACACTTTTTTCAACAATGATAGCAATAATTAAGGTTTAGGGTTTAGGGGATTAGTACTGTAGCAATAACAATAGGAATACCAGGAGTAATAGCAGCGACAAACAAGCGTAAGAGCAGCAGGAACAACAACAAATGTTAGCATACGCTCAGCAAGCATGTCCAAGAAGCAATGTGCTGCCTCCGCCCCACTTTCCAGAACAAGACCTGTAATTGGATTGCTTGTAATTATGAAGAATGCAAGTTAAGTCCCCATGAGATGGGTATATAGTAGATGATGCGGTTTCCTTACTATAGTACTTTGAGGAGCCTTCCTTAACAGCAACCCACTCAATTTTGTTGAAAACATCATCCCTCTGCGGGTATGTCTTTGGAGTCGTGTCAAAATGGGAACCCAAAAAGAGATGCCATAGTTGTGGCGAACCCTCAGTTCAGCTCAGCTCGAGATCTTGACGAGAACAGCAACTGAGCCATAAACCCGGGTGGCCTTCCAGCAGTTAGGGAAGCAAAAGCCCCAGTATAGCCAGGTAATATCCCACAGCTTCTTCCAATTGCTATCAGGGATGATACTTGTGTTTCGTAACATGCCTGCCTGGCCGCTTGAGCCCTGTTCAGGAGGAGGTGGTGGACCTCGTGGAGGCTTTGCCGCCTTGTGGGCATGTAAGTTCCGAAACGACAAGTGTTTCTGTCGAGTCCTCTTGCCTCAAAGTTCGGGACTGTTCAATGCAAAAGCTCGCGAGATCATAAATAGCTCTTGGTCGCCTGTGAAAGCCCAACAAGGTGGAGTTGATGTTAATGTGAGAAATCTCCAAAAATCAGAGCTCCCGCTGTGGAGGCCCCCCATGTTTTGGATTATAGTGCAGTGGGTGTTTACTAGTATGTTGGCCCCCTGAAATTGTGGAAGGCGACATTTGCATGTTTCAGTTTTGCTTAAATGCTCCAGTATTCCAGTACAGTTCTGATCATTGCTGCTGCTATTGTTCCTTTATCAGTCTTGCATATTCTGAGGACCCTAAACCCAAATCCTCTCCCAGATCATGAAACCCAAGGTAGGCAGAGATCTCAAAGCTGAAGGTCCCCAGCCTGAAGCTCATGAAGGGTGTAGGTTAGGTGGACCCCCCCGCGCTGCAATGGTGACTATAAGGGATAAGAAGGGTTATGTTAGGGTCCTATTATATTCCTCTTGTACCACTATTACAGGGTGGGGATCCTCCCAAGGTGTCGGGGTCGAGGGTTTAGGGTTCAAGGTTTAGGGCTTTTGAGCGATCTAGCCCCGTGGCATCCGACACCCTCTTTAGTGCAATTGCTTAGTTAGCCCGGCAATGTCCAAACCTTCTGATGGCTGATGTCTTTGCTCATTTTGATTGGCAGCTTCCTGGATCTCAAGTTCAAGACTGATTTTGATGTCTTCCCTTCACTGCAATTGCTGAATCCCACCAGCAGTGGTACCGATACTACTGCTGGGAATACTAAACTCAAAGCGGAACGAAGGGGCCACTGTTGTTGGAGCAATTCTCCAGAAGAGGCCTTGGAGTCGAAACAGATCTTCCTCCAGGGCGATCCATTGGAAGCGATCGCCTAGGCCTGGAAGTCGGAGTTTAGCATTTGG